GGGGGGGGGGGTTCAGGCAATTTGTTGTTGGATTGTCTGAGAAAGATGACCTAAATGTGTCACCGTTCATTGATTGTAATGCTCATGCACACAGTCTCTGAAACTGCTCAAAGCCCTTGTTCGAAAACATCAAGACATGAAGAAAGAATAGTGTTCGTAAAGCTGCTCCAATCATGACAGAAAATAAGAGGGTTATATCTGCAAAATTGAAAAACTGGAAGTAATAACCCTGTCCCCAGCATCCTACATTCCTCTCTTCAGTCCTCCTGAGCAATCTGCTAACCACATATACCATCAACATAATCAACACAAGAGGCAGAAATGCGTAGAGTTAGAGATTAGGCTTTCCATTAGTCATCAATGAGAGAGCAATTAGAAAGCCATAATGCACTTTCTGTAGTGACTACCTCTTCTTTTGCCCGTCACCTTATCCAGAAAGCTCCTTTAACCCCTCTCACAGGCATTCTCAAAGTCCAGTTTGAATAAAACAGTTGAATCATCTGTGCTCCTAATATTATCCGCCAACTCATTATCAACCATGACACATCAGGTTTCTGCCTGCATAACACGAAATCTATCTGAACCCAATGTCGTAATACCCTCTAGTATCAAACACAATCTAAAAGGCAACACCTGGGTCGCAATCTTTAAGATGCCAATAACAAGGTTGGTAGGTCTTATCATTATTCTTATGGAAATTGAGTTACCGCTGAACAAAGCCAGATCAAAGTAGAGGTGATAAATCTTTCCTGACACTGACAACAACAACAACTACCCCTCAGTGGCAAACAAATTGTGGTCGACTATATAAATCCTCACTGACCATGTTTTCCCTTCATCTCAGACCAAAACATTATACAAAGTAAAATAAAAATAAAAATTACTAAAGGTTCTCTATATTACCTACCAACATAAGAATCTCTAATTGCGGAAAAAACTCCTACGAAGTATATGACCTAAAGTAAATGAATTAATATGACTAAAACATATTCCGGACTAATTTCGCCTATATGCATCTTCTCTTCCATCGTGTCCGATCTTTCGCTAAGTCTGCATTGATTCCAAGATATTATAGGTCTTTCGAGACAATTTTTCTCAAAATAGTCATTTAAGATCTAACTGGGCAATATCCCTAACAACCTCAAGAAAAGCCACGATAGAACCAGCAGAAGTGTAGGACCATATCTACAGCTATACACGAAAATGCACCTAACTTATTCCTTCTCTCAAGACCTTTAGAGAACGTTGCAATTATCCTAAGTATAGACTATAGATCTCAACGATGGGTCTATTCTCATGAGATAGACTTCATATTAGGTATTGCTATATATGACTACTTGCCTAATTTTAATGGGAAGTTCTGCTTTATCTAATCAATAGATTACAACTATATGATTATCCTTCTGCTCTTTCTACGTAGGGGTTCACTCGATGCACACAGATACCTTGTACAAAGAGAATATTCTCCACAAGCCATAATCTTAAGTTGGCCAAGTTAAGCTAGTATTGGTTGAGCTATCAGCTGCAATTTCATACTTCACATAAAAATTGCCTTTGGTTTCCTCCTTTTGGAGGTATCGAATGTGTAATTTTTATATCTTGTTCCTATCATTTCCTTTCTCTTTTTCACTATCGTACATAACTCAAAAATACCGCCCCTGTTTATACTTTCCAACATATAAAAGAAAACAATCTGTCGCCCATGAATTTCTCCCTAAATTTTGTACGAAGTAAAGCTTCCAGATTTCTATTTTGAAACACCTCGTATAGCATGTGTTAAAATAGATGGAGCTGTTAAACATGAGTGCAAAGGTTCAGTCAACTTAACACCTCCTAAGTTCAATGTAACCAGTTCCCGGCTACAAAATTATAGTCAAATATGTGAGATTAGACATTTCTGAAGCTTTACGAATCATGGCTGATCATATCGCTCCATTTAACCTCATCTCAGGCAAATATCCAATTTATTAGTATATATTCTCACCACACAGAATACCGGAATGGGGAAACCATAAAAACAAATAGGTATAACTAAGTGCGTTTTGATCCACAACAGCCCTCCTCTACCCCACCCCCACCCCAGGTCCCTGAATATAAAATTTACCCACAAATTAAAAAGGGGAGGAAAAAGGACAATACGTACATTGGCAAGACTCGAATTGGCAATTCAAAGCTTCATGATCGTCATCTTCTCCATTAGAATTAGATTCCTTTAGAGCGGAAGCCCTACAAGATCTGCAACTCTTGAGAACCTTCTTCAACCTTTTGTATTCAACATGCGGCGAATATTTTTCCGAAATTTTCCCTTGATCGCCCTGCAGATACTCCATAAAAGTTTCTCCAAACTTCATGATTAAATTAAATCCTTAACAATATCTTCTTCTTATTCTTCTCAGACCCAACCCGATTAATTCAGAAATTTCCAATTCCACACAAATTGAAGATCATGAATATCGTCGTTGTGGAGTGGTAAATAAATAGGGGGTGGGGTTATGGTAATCTGAGAAATTTTTTCTTTGGTTTCAAATATTGGCGTGTAGCCGCGGGCAAGCTTAGCTGGTCATTCGTTAAATTTAGGTTTTTATGTACAGCAAGGAAACCGAGAAACAGCTTGTTGCATGTCGTGCACGCGGTGGAAAATATCACAAGTCATGCATGTGTTTTTATTTCTGTTACTGTACTTTTTTGGAAAAATTGAGGAAACTTGCAGTCAAAAATAATAACTCGAGAATATTTTTTTTAGAAAATATTATAATTCATACTTATTTAGATAAAAATATTTATAAAAATTTCAGCACATATATACATTGCATACCTTTTAATTATTCAATTTCACATGTTATATATCTTAATGGTATTATATAATAGTGTAATTTTACTATTTTTTTTTAATTATATATAATTGTATAACCCAAAATTATACAACATACAAAAATTCAAAAGTCGCCCAGCCAATCTTTAAGACAAACATGTTTAGTGACAAAATGATCCAATTGCAACACAGAATAAATATTTATAGAATAAGATTCGGCAATTAAAATTAAATTTATTATTAATACTTGGTGGTTATTTACTATACTGGTCTTACGGTACGCGTTTTGCGCGTGTAGCCTATATCATTTAAAAATTTATATACATATTAGTGAACTTTGTATATCTTACATGCAATTATTAAGTGTCAAAGAATTACAAGAAAATATACATGACTTCACAGCATAACAGAAAATGGCCCATGTTTTTAAATTTATCCTACCTAGCCCATATTGTATATATTTTGAAAGCACTAGCAAATTCAAAATTTGTGTTCTCACAACCATTGCTTCTAAAAGCTATGGAGTTAAATTTGTGTTCTCAAAACCATTGCTTTCACTCTCTTCTTCTCACATCTTCTACATATGCTTCAACGGGCCGTCCGCCATTGCCGCTTCTTACCCTGTGTCACCTCGTTGCAGTGTAAGTAAAATTGAAGAGTAGAAGTCCACCATTGAAGGCCATTCAAAGCTTTGCTTCGAAAATAGGATTTTTGAGTTTGTTAGTTGTTTGGATTGGGTGTTGTTCCAATTGATTGAAAATACCAAAAGGAGTTCAAAATTTAAATTTGAAGTGATTTGGAGTTGATTTGAGCAAGATTTGAGTAAAATTTTAGAAAAGACGCAAGGAAGAAGACGAAGTCAGTTTTTTGTATAATTATGTATAATAGTGTATATGAGTGTATAGACACATCTTATATGCTATTGTACACTTTTATACACATTTATACAAGCGTCTCTAAACGACCTTCTTTCACGATTTTCAGTTGCAATTCTTGTTCAAAACCAGTCCAAATCTCCATTAAATGACTTCAAATTTTATATACAACCTCCTTATACTATTTCTTATACTATTTCTAACAAGTCTAAATAACACACACTCCAAATTTCTCACAAAATCAAATTCGAAATTTAAACCCACATATTTAAGTTTGTTAAAAATCTAATTTTCACCATCCAAATAGATTTTGTTTGTTGAACTAATATTTGAGTTACAGTTACTAATTTAAAAATTAACTTAAAAGCTTGATCAATCTTTTTTAATAAATTAAAATTTCTAGAATCTATTGGAGTTGGATTTTGAATCTTAGCCTATTATTTTTGGGCTAGTTGATTGTAAATCAAAATATGGGCTATAAAATTAAAAAATAGAGAGCTCAATTGTTCTTATGTGAAATTTTCCCTTTAAAATTTGAAGTTGAGTTGGGGAGTAGAATAATTATGAACATTGGAATAATTTATATCTAATAATAGTATTTAGTAGTATTTGTATTTGTATTGTATATAACCAGAGAATGAAGCACAGTTTTTCATAAAAAGTCTTTCTATATATTTTTATTTTTTATTATTACTTAAATAATTAAATTATATAAACTAATTACAGTAGAACCCCTCCAAATTAATATTGTTGGGATCATAAAATATTATTATTTTGTAGAGGAATTATTTAATTGATAAATTAATTATTAATTTAAAGAATATTTTCGAGATTCAATGAAGATTAATTTTGATTACATCAAAATCATTGTATCTTACTAATTTATGTATCATATTTATTGAATTAATATAAAAAATAAATTAATTATACATAAAGTACAATGTATCATGTATGATTCAGTGTAATATTTTTTTATTAAATAATTCATTGTATTGTTTATTGTTTATTCATTGTAATTAATAAATCATTGCAATGTTTATTGTTTTTCTTAATAATCAAATATTATTCATTGTATTTTTAATAAAAATATCATGTATGATGGTGAGAGAATAAACTATATAAGCAACGTAGAGAATTTCTTCAAACTATAATCAACAATGGCTTCTTATCTAAAAGGTGTCACAAAATCAACAATGATAGATTAATGAACTTGAGGTCATGACTAATGATCTCGGTTATAGCAATAAAATGGATGTCAATAGCCTGTTGAATTAACCGGCTGAAAATGATATGTGTTCAGAGGTCTAGAGCTTAGAAGAAATTATGGATACCATTGGAGAAAATAATATTGATGACGAAGTTAAAAACGATACAATACCTTTGGAATCAGTTACGCATAAGAAAGCACTTATCCCGTCTAGAACTCTTCACAATTTTTTGGTGCAGTTCGAGAAGACAACCCCAGAAATTTTGGCTGCAATATGAAAAGTTAGAGATGAGCTTTAACTAGATTTAAATTTTAAGAAAAAACAAAAAATACTAGAATTATATTTTACAAAATTGTCTTAGATATTTTTGTAATTTTAAAGAACTATTAATTTATAATATTAATGGGACCATATATTTATATAGGTGTAATAATCTGATCGGTCGTTTTGCTTTTTAGATCTCCGTTCCTCTAATTAAGATTCTCCGTATATGCTTTTTATGACTTGCGGGGTTGGTTGGTTCAACAACACTGATTTTAATTTGAACTCCTACCACTTCGTTTCGGAAATGACCTTTTCGATCTTCAATGAAGAAATAAAAGAACAGAACACAACTCACAAGATGCAGCAAGAAGATGACTGGCGCGAGAAACAAAACAAAGATGACAACCCTAAAAGGTTTTTAACGTTAGTTCTTAGGACTGTATTACCGTTTATAAATATTTTATTTATTAAAAATAAAACCCCTAGACCTTAGTTTATCTCCTATAGTTAATTTAACTAAATTTAGTGTATACACCGTGTGTAATAAGTTTTTTCACTCACTACAGCATCACAAGACATGATCAACGCTAGAGTGAAAATAAAAAAAGTGAAGCATAGTATCCATGGGATTTGCACAAAGAAGCGAGACTTCCTGCTCATGGAATCAATACTTGTGAATTTTTCCTATAAAATAAATTAACTCATCAGAAAATATTGTTCAAAAGTAGTTACCAGCTCCATTTAAAAGATAGAAGGATATATCATTTCTTAATAATTACTAGTCCGTTCATTTTTAATTATCAAGTATTCTAAAAATAAATTTTTATTTTTACTTGTCACTTTTCGCATATCAAGAGAAAAATAATTTATTTTTCCTTTTTTACCCTTAGTATTAATTTCTCATTCCAAATAATTTTCTGTTAAGATTATACACCAATTAATATGGGTATCATGATAAATTATTCATTTTATTTATTATTTTTTAAAGAATGTACAAAGTCAATAATAAATAAGTAAAAGTAAATAGAGGGATTAAATATTAAGGGCTTCAGTAGATTTTACTCTTGTTTAAACAATTTCTCTAGAAAGCATAAGCTTCAACTAAAACGGCACGTGCTTGGACTCGAAAGTTGTAAAGCACTTAACAAGCTTTTATATTTAGCACCGAGTGGTTTTATTTTGTGTCTCATACAATTTACATTAGTTGTGTGAGCCCTCTTTTTATCTCATATATTTGTTGACCCATATCTTACACATTTCGGTCCACAAAATTCTGGGACCACACAGTTGTGAGATAAAAAAGAGATCTCATACAACTAGTCAGAGACGGAGCTAGTCTTATTGGTGCGAGTTCGGCTGAACCCAGTCACTTTTGCTTAAATATTGTATTTATATTAAGAAATTCATTAAATATGTACAAATATTTAATTGCGAACCCTGTAACTAAAACGATCTATGGTTTCCGTAATAAATTCAGAACCCATAAACTTTAAAGTTTAGCTCCGCCTCTGCAACTAGTGTTAGTTGTATGAGACACAAAATAAAAAATTTCATTTAGCACCATTGGCTTCTTTTTGCTTAAAGAAACAAAAAAGATCTCTAGCGGATTCATTGAATTTCATAACAAATGATAATGCTCCTTTCGTCCCGGCCAAGTTGATTAATATTTAAAGTTAAATTGAATCAGATCAATTTAATATTGAAAAACCTAAAAATTATAAAAAATATTATAAAGTTATAATTTTTCTCATGTCAATATACTAAAAACTAAATTTAAAATTTTAACTTATATAAGAAGAAACAAAAAGTGTCACAATGAAGAACAATACTGTAATAAATAATACTCACTTCTTATACAAACATAAATAAATATCACAAAATGCAGCCCCCAAACCGCCCCCCTAAACAGTACGAGATAATAGATTTGAATGAATATTAGATTACTTCAACAAAGATTTACTCATAAACCATGCATCACCAAAAATGCAGCTTATTCTTCTTCTAGGCAAAGACCAAAAGGCTAGTAGTAGTAACATGACTAATTGAAAAAAAATCAAAATGAAAGTATGAAAAGAAAGAACATAGTACTTCATCCATATACAAACACTAAAAAGGTTTTGGCAGCAGCTGTTTGCATATATACCCACCAAAAAAAGATCAAGAACAAAACAAAACTTTGCGCTCAACATTCAAGACCACTTCTATAGAAACAAAACTTTGCGCCCAACCATTTAACAAAAACCACTTCCATTCTGTGCCGAAAAAGTACTTAATACTACTATAAAATCCCATAAGAAGTCTGATAAGAGAATAGGCAAAATGTTAATATATATAAATAAAAATAAATTATATATATATATTTATATTTTTAACGGGTTAACGAATTATCCGTTAAGAAAATTGAATAATCGGCCCCCAAACCGATAAGCC